CCTCTTCCTCGCATTGACGATCTTCTTGAGTGATTGGGTGGCGCGAAGTATTTTTCTAAGTTGGATTTGAAGTCGGGATATCATCAAATCTCGATACGGCCGAACGATCGCTACAAATCCGCGTTCAAGACGCTGTACGGGCATTTTGAGTGGGTGGTCATGCCTTTTGGCCTCACCAACACCCCGACAACCTTTCAAGTGGCAATGACCAACGAGTTCCATGCAAAGTTGGACCAGTTCATGTTGGTCTACTTAGACAATATTCTCTCCTATAGCCGGACATTGGAGGATCGTCTTGGGCATCTTCGACGAGTGTTGGAGACGCTCCGCCGCGCCAAGTACAAAGCCAACCTCGACAAGTGCGAATTTGTCTTGCAAGAGTTGGAATACTTGGGCCATTTTCTCACACCGAAGGGCATCAGTCCGCTATCGGACAAGATTCAAGCCATCCAAGAGTGGTCGGAGCCACGGAACCTCACGGATGTCTGCTCGTTCCTTGGCCTCGACGGCTACTACCAACATTTCATCAAGGGCTACTCGCAGATCGCGGCCCACTTGACCAAACGTCAATGCGAGGATCGATCGTTTGACTTCGGAGAGGATGCACGGGAAACATTTTTGGCTCTCCAAGGTTCGCTATTATCTGCGGAGGTCTTGCACATATACGACCCGCTTTTGCCTACGCGCGTCACTACGGATGCGTCCGGCTATGGCATTCGTGTCGTCCTCGAGCAACACGATGGCGTGGACTAGCACCTAGTCGAGTATTTCAGCGAGAAAGTGTCGGTCGTGCCCTCCATCGACGATGCACGCAAGGAGTTCCTCGCCTTCGTCCACGCACTCAAGCGGTGGCGGCATTTCCTCCTTGGTCGAAGCCAATTCCTATGGGTAACGGACAACAATCCGTTGGTCTTTTATAAGACCCAAGACACCGTCAAAAACACCATCGCTCGATGGATGGCTTTCATCGACCAGTTCGGCTTCTTTCCCGATCACATTCCAGGGAAGTCGAACCGTTTTACGGATCCTCTTTCACAGCTCGAAGCCAATTCTGATTGGGTAACGGACAACAATTCATTGGTCTTTTATAAGACCCAAGACATCATCAACAGCACCATCGCTCGATGGATGGCTTTCATCGACCAGTTCGACTTCTTTCCGGATCACATTCCGGGGAAGTCGAACCGTTTTACGGATGCTCTTTCACAGCGCCCGGACCATTGTACCGCGGTCTACTCGACCTTCGAGATCGACCACCACCTGCGGGACAGCTTCATCCGCGACTACCAAGTCCACCCCGAGTTTCACGACAAGTATGCGAATTGCGCCTCTCCTAATCCGGTGCCTTCTCACTACCGGATCCAAGAGGGGTACTTGCTTGTCCACACACAGGGGAAGGACCTTCTTTGCGTACCGAGTGACCCTCACTTGCGTACGCGGTTTCTTGGCGAGTTCCACAATGCACCCGCCACCGGACACTTTGGAGTTAATCGCACGATTGGCCGACTTCGCGAGTGATTTTCGTGGTCCGGCCTTCTCGGCGACGTGACACGCTATTGCGAGTCATGCGAGGTTTGCCGACGCTGCAAATCCCGCAACCATCGTCCATACGACGAGTTGCGACCATTACCGGTCCCCTTGCGACGAAGGGAAGCGATTGCCATGGACATTACCGGCCCGTTCCCCAAGCACAAGACCGGCGTGGATGGGATTCTCACGGTGGCTGACCGACTCACCAAGTTCGCCATGTTTTTGCCTTGTCGCTATCATGCCAAGGCACCGGAGTTGGCCGAGGTTCTTTACGCCGGTTGGATTTGAACCAAGGGTTGCCCCAAGGAAATCGTCTACGACCACGACACTCGGTTGATGTCCGATTTTTGGTTGGCACTCATCAAGCGATGGGGCTCATCCCTCAAGCCCAGTTCAGCTCGCCACCCCCAAACCAATGGCCAAACGGAGAGGGCACACCAGACCTCACAGGTTCTCCTTCGCACTCTCATCCGTCCTGACCAGAAGGATTGGGTTGAGTGGCTGCCGGATGTCGAGTTGGCCTACAACTCCTCCATCCACCCGGCTATTGGGATGTCGCCTTTCGAATTCGAGCACAGCTCGCCGGTCACTTTGCCGTTGGACACAACCATTCAATGAACGACCGAGAGCGACGACCATCTTCTTTTCTTGCGCCGGATGCAAGAGCTACTTGTCAAGGCACGTGACCAGATGGCCAAGACGCAGCAGCGCATGAGCCAACAGGCCAATCGCCAGCATCTTCCTTGCCCATTCCGCACCGGCAATCTCGGTTGTGTTTCCACCGCGGAATTTAGCCTTGAACAAGATATCTCTCGCAAGCTCCTCCCGAAACAGGCACCTGAATAGTGAAGGAAGGTCCCTCGGGTGCATCCCCAGCGGGTGTCACGATCGACCAGGGCCCCATCCATTTCGGGAGGAGCTTGCGAGAGATATCTTATTCAAGGCGAAATTCCGCGGTGGAAACACAAACGAGATCGGCGGTGCGGAATGGGCAAGGAAGACGCTGGCGATTGGCCTGTTGGCTCATGCGCTGCTGCGTCTTGGCCATCTGGTCACGTGCCTTGACAAGTAGCTCTTGCATCCGGCGCAAGAAAAGAAGATGGTCGTCGCTCTCGGCCGTTCGTTGAATGGTTGTGTCCAACGGCAAAGTGACCGGCGAGCTGTGTTCGAATTCGAAAGGCGACATCCCAATAGCCGGGTGGATGGAGGAGTTGTAGGCCAACTCGACATCCGGCAGCCACTCAACCCAATCCTTCTGGTCAGGACGGATGAGAGCTCCAAGTTGGCTCTTTACACGCCAGCGGATCATGACGATTTTCTCGGGCGACGTTCGCAAGACCCACCCTCTATGGATGGTTTTCAGGAGGTCGGCGACATCATCTCCCAGCGACGCTACGGCAACACGCCAACCGAGTACTTGGTACATTTTGCATACTGCACACACCGAGATGAACGTTGGTTGACCCGTGCGGAACTTCAAGCAACAGCTCCAGACGTTCTCGCACGCTACAAACGCAAGATGGAAGGCAAGCCGTCTCTTCAGCTCCACGCAGCACCCGCGTCCAGGTTCCACCTTCATATCGTCAACTTCGCCCTCGCCCCGGCTTGACTTCATAAGGAGGGGGGGGGGTTACATGCTGCGCCTGCACACGAGGGCCATTTCCCAGGCCCTATGTCCTTCAGGCTAAAAGCCTGAAATGTAGGGCCTACAGGCCCCATGTCTGTTCGCCTCAAAAAGCTGGAAACAGGGGCCTACAGGCCCTGTGTCGTTTCATACTAAAAACGGCATGAGCCTTTTTAGCCTGAAACTGAGGGCCATTTTCGGGCCCTCATCAGACCGACCTGCCCCGAAACTCAGTCACCAAACCAGGGTTTTAGGAACAGGCTATTTTTGGCCTGTTCCCACGACAACTGCAGCGCCAGCCCCTCGCTCAGCTTGGCATTGGCAAGAGCAGCCTCCTGGACTGCCCGCCCTGCAACTGCAGGCAGTCAGAGGCAGTCATGAGGCAGGCCGAGGTAGTACATAGGGACTTCCCATGCACTTAAGGGGCAGGCAGGAGGCAGTCAGTAGTCTTTAGGATTCGGCAGCAGCACTCTGGAGGAGCGCTGCAGGAGTAGTTGTAGCGTTAGCAGTAGTCTTCAGCGCTGGGCGCTAGTAGCGTTAGTTGCAGTCTTCCGCGTTGGGCGCCATAGCTAGAGTAATACTAGAGAGAAAGAGATATTGGGCGGAGGCCAGGGATACTTACCCGCTACGCCGTTGCTCCAGCTTCGTCTTCGAAGTACCTGCAGCACAGCGCCATCTTCACATGTTAGTACCTGGTATACAAGCGAGAGAGAGTTTTTCTTCTTCCTCTTCTCAGTCCACCATCTTCTTTTCACCCTCTCGCTATCTGACTTCACTGCATCAGCAGACTACGAGAGAGAGAGAGAGAGAGAGAGAGAGAGAGAGAGAGAGAG